AAAAAAAAAAAAAAAAAAAGTCCCAGGATGAAAAGAACCAGACCTCCGAAATTTCTAGCCAGTATATTTTTGTGCTGTATCATTATTTTATTAATCTTTATAGGAAATAGTTACTAAATAGCAATCATTTTTCTTGATATTTTATTTACATGATAAGCTACTGATACTATTAGAATTTCTATAAAATGAATTTCTTTTAAAATAGTAATGAGAATTATATAATTCTATTTACCAAGAAATTTAAAAATTAAATGTGAGATATTATTGCAGTACAGACATTATTAAACTGCATTAATTTAATTACGTTATTACTATACAGCTCTTACTGATAATTAAACTGAGCAAACATTAAAACTTCAAAAGCTCGTATTCCACTATTTCAATGAAACTGTTAGTGCAGAATTCAATAATTCATTAAGACTTAGGTTAGAAGACTTTTAAGAACAATGGAATAAGCAATGATAGAAATATCTTTGTCTCAACAAAAAGCAATCCTTAATGATCATTATCAATTGAAAGTGTGGATTCTAGACATTCTCATTTTTCCTTTCCTCCTCTTTCTTTTTTGCCTTTGTTTATTGTTTTCTCTAACTTTCTTCAGTAAGAATTTGAAGTGACATCAAATAGATGTCAGGAGTACTTCAACATTCATAAAATACGATGCCCCTCTCATTCTGAGTTCTATTGAGGATGTCCTTATCCTCCTTAGAAAGTTTAGAGTACTAGCTATCATTTAATGTTTTTAACTACCTGTATTATGTCTAGGCATAGCTAGGGCCTTTTTGATGTTGGATTGAAAGTTATAAAATTGTCATCATATGAAAGGAACAATAGTTGTTACATTAAGTTGAAAAGGTGATTTTTATCTTCTAAATGTGTAGTCATGTGATATATCTAAGATGTTTGTTAGTTAAAATGAAACTAACTTCTTTTCCTCCTTTCCTCTTTCTTTCCTTTTTCCATCTGTGTTCGTCCTCCCTCCCTGCCTTCTTCCCTCCCTCCCTCCCTCCCTCCCTTCCCTCCCTTCCCTCCTTCCATCCTCCTTTCTTATTTTTTATTTTTATTTTATTTT